TTTTGAATTAATAAAATGTGTATTTGATAAATAAATATCGTAACGGTATATTAATCACATGATTTATTTAATTTTACACTATTTTCCGACTAAAAAAAAACCCCCTATTTAAACCACCCGGGTCTTTTACAAAATTTCGGCCCAAAACCTTAGAAGGGTATTTTGCATAGGGGGGGTGGTTTAGTCAGCGCTCTACGGTATGTATCACAGAGTAAGTATCCTTAATCGCTAATACAATATTTTCTATGCTTAATACAGACAGTCACTTGATTTTCATAGAAAACTTTAATATTTCAAAGTTGAATAGAAATACTCTTCAAATACTTTTACAGGTCAGATAATTTTCTAATCTGTACAAAGTATTTGTTTTATATGATTTGCGTTAAGTCCTAATTGGTCTTAAAGGATTTAAAAATACTTTTATTTCGTTGAAGTAATGTTTTAGATAAAACTAATCATGTGATTTTATTGGGACTTACATAACGTCGCTCGGAGACGCTAAAACGGTGGTCACAATTCAAAATTTTTTTATTCAAGGTAACCTAACGTAATTTTTTTATCTCAATTACACGCGATTTCATTTATCGCCGTAGTAATTAAGGATCATGCGAATATCATTTAATTAAATATTTCCTTTTTTGCGTATTTTTTTTTCTAATCACTGTAATACAGATTATCAAAAATGATCGAAAATGATTAAACAGTAACGAAAAACGAAAAAATTCAACAATAAAATTTAATTCACAAAAATATTATTATTAATAATAAAAAGGGTCAACCTTTTCTTTTCTTTTTTTTTTTCTTTCCAAAGTTAAAAAAAATATTAATGTCATAAACTATGTATAAAATATGTGTAAAAAAATATGAAAAATACTTAAAAAATAAAATAATTTTTTTTTTTTGAGATTGAAGAAGAAAAATACATGAATTATTGTATCTTCTCCAACCTTAAATGTTTCTGAAGTATTCCAAAACAAAATTTTCTCATCATACCCTTCCCTTCCTTCTTTCGACTCCACTTTTTGGTTGATTGAAATTTTTTTTTTTGAGGAAAAACAAGTATATAATTAATATATATATATAAATTGATTTTCTGTACAAAAAGAAATATCGGAGAGGAAAAAAGGGAAAAGGGATATAAGAATAACATCAAATTAGTATAAGTACTAACTACTTTTCAAAATTAAGTGATACAAAATAAGATAATTAAATAAAATAAGTACAAAATAATATCACCAACATAATAATAATAAAACAATAAAATGTTTTTTCCAAAAGGGGACCCTTGATTTAATTTATAATAATATTATTAATAAAAAAAAAAAATTAATGTATATAGTCCATGATTATAAAAAATTACCCTAATATTATTATTATTAATTATATCAGTATTTAAAAATTATGCTTTTAAGAATAATTGTCTTCCAATACTTTTATCATATAAATCCAGGTTTTATTTTCTCCTCATTACTCGAAAACAACACGTCAGCATGTTCAACAATATATTCAACCAAGGCATTCTTGAAGTTCATATCAAGAATTTCAGAACTTGGATTGGAACCTCGAAGTAATGTAGGTCCAAATACAACAGAAAGATTTTTGGTAGTCATAAGGTTTTTTGCTTCAAGTTCTTTTACTCTAAAGAAAAAAAGAAAAATTTTTGTTTAAATCAGTAATTTGATTTAAAAAAAAAAAATATTAACGGATTATAATATCCTCACCTGTATAAATGCTCAAATAAGTATTTTATTGTAGCATAATTAGCTTTTGGTAATTGTGAAAATAGTTCTCGAAACTTTTCAGCTTTCTCTTCGCAATTAGGCATAGCTATAAAAAATTTGATTTAATAAATTTCAAAAAAACTTTGAGCCCTAAAAATAGATTTTGAAATCGTGCAGACTTACGAACTAATTCCAGGAAACTTGAATAGAATTCATAAGTGAATAAAGGATTTGATAATTCTCGCAAATATTTTTTGAGAACACTGGTTATCGCACTTATGTCATTAAATATATCTGGATTATCCAGATCAATTTCTATCCCATTCTCAAAAGCAGATATGATAGCACGAATTTGTAAGGCACCACCTGATTTTCGATAGATGCCTTCAAGATCCATCCCTATTTTTTTTTTGAAAAAATTAGATTATTAATGATTTGATCATATTATTTATTTATTTTTTTTTCGTATATATATATATACCTCTAATTTCGACAGCTTTAATGCACTTTTGTACTACGAATGGAATATCAACTCCATCCAACTCTGACTGCTTTGTTAAGTCATTACCAAATATCGAATTGGTATTAACATTGTAAGCGCTATCTGAATCATAATCCGTGATTGCACAATTCGCTGGAACATTATGTGAACATTTTATATGAACCACAAGTGAACATGCTAAAGTAATAGAAATTTTTGAAAGCGTGTAAGAAAATAATATTGAAATTTTTTTTTGTTTTAAAAATAAATAAATAAATAAGCATACTTGAACATTTTAATTCTGCCAAGCTTCCCATTTTTTCATGACAATAGTCACATTTTACGGAATTCGTTAAATTGGTTTGTTGCCAACTATGAGCTCGATTCATCTCATGATTATGTAACATCTGATTAAACATTTTCTTATTTGCCTCTGAGCGGGTTTCATTCGTCGCTGTAGGTAAACTAATATTGGAAGTAGTCGATAGAGTTCCCATCATATATGGTTTAACATCATTAACAACTACATTTGCATTAGCTAATAGTTTATTTAATACTTTGCCGCCCTTTTTCCATTTAAATTTTTTGGGAGTTGCGCCACGACCAATGCTATTTCGGTGAGCTATCTTCTGCAAAGGATCAACTGATGCGTTGTCTGGAATATCAGCCTCATAATTATATATCGAAGGCGATTTATTATGTCCAAAGGATTTGCCATGACTCGATCCAGAATCTGTATGGTGGTGTCCATGTGGTTTATTACTTTTAAAAAAGTTAAACCCTTTGCCTTTTTGATGTGATTCAATTTGTTTTAGTAAATCATTGTTCATATCAGCTAATTCTAAATTCTTTTCATTCAACTTTTGCGCTTCTTCAACAAACTGATCTCGTTTATACCTAAACTGTTCTGTTTCGTATTTCAATGTATCTCGTTCAGTTTGCAAAGATCTAATTTCTGACATATAACTTTGTTTGACTTCATCAAGATGAGTTGAAATATGTTTGGCAAGAGATGCCGGAAGATTACTCGTGGAATCAGAATCGGGATTAGATGAAAAAGTTCTATAATAAAAATTTAAACAATATACGAGCGAGTTAATAAATACTCAATAAATTTGTTAAATTTATATTAGATATTTACCCGGCAAGACCAGCTTGCTTTTCTTTAGCTAACCCTTCGATCTCCTTGATAATCAATTCTTTTTGCATATTCATTTCTCTTAATTCATTTTGCATTTCTTGCAACATTTGTTTTGTTAACGAAGAATCTTTAATCAATTGATCCTTTTCCACTCCTTCCTTTCTTAATTCTTCTATCTGTTGAGATTGTTTATCTAGGTATGTACGCATTTTCTCAATTGTTGATTCTGCTTTGTTCCTTAGGGTTATCTCATTATTGAGTTCTTCCCTCACAAGACTGGCTTCATCAAGTGCCATCTGACTTGCCTTCTGTAAATCAAAGTATTATTAATCAATGGGAAAATTGATACGAATTAAATAGATTACTATGAATACCAATTTCTTTCTCGTGTCAGCTAAAGCTTTCTGCAATTCCTCTACTGGCATATCGTCCGGTTCAATGATAGTTATTTCATTTTCTCGACTGGATAATGAAGTTATCGAAGACCCGCTGTTCTTTCTGTCCGCAGACAAAGGAGAACTACCGGATGAAAAATCTTCAAAATCTACTGAATCAATACCATTTAACATTTTGAAATTTTTATCTTTTGGAAATTCTCCGATAAATGATCTGTGTTTTAATTTACGGTTCTCATCTCTTTTTTTACCCGCAACCAATTTGCTCAAGTCTTCTTCTCCATTTGAAAAAGATAATGGTGGTAATACTGGTGGGCCAACTTCCAAGCCATTGTAATAACTGCTTTTACGGGGCACTGGAGATAGTTTGTTATCAAGGCTGTAAGTAGGAGGAAATATTGGACTAGTAGGGGAACTGGAATTCGGAGTAACTGGAGAATTTGAACGAGGAGAGTACTCACTGTTTGATGATGGATTTAATTGAACATTTCCGGTATTTTCATCAATATGAGGTAAATGAGGTTGACTTTGTGGCGATTTTACTTTCCGACTGGAAGAGAAGCCGGGTTTTCGACTTGAATTGTCCGCTTCATTTTTTTTTGGTATGACATCAGTGATATCACTTCGTTGACTAGAAATTGAAAAGGTGCGTCCCCCCTCATAAGGTTCACTTCGAAAGCTTGTGATGGAAGAGTTCCTTACATGAGCGTCTGTTACTTCACGATTTTTAGATGGCCAAATTTTCGATATGTTGTCTAAAGAATCGTTCCTTTTGGAGAAAATACTAGTTTTCTTTAAATTTTCGGAAGGATCTCCACGATTCTTATGTTTATCGACTAACGAATCGGATTTCGTAAGTCCGTTAGGTTTTCCTGTTATTTGTTCAAGTGCCTTTGAGGCATTCGAAGTAACCTTTTGTTTGAAAACATCACTAAGTGAGCTGGCATCGAATAATCGAGAATGACGACGACCTATTCCGTAATTTGATGGAGGTAGAGTACGTGCCTTAGGTATGTGTTCTAAAGTATCTGAAGACGTTTGGGGTGATATCGAAGGTGAAGTATCGTTTCGTTCGAACGATCTTTTTGGATATAGAGTATTGTTTGGTGATTCTAGCCTATTGGACTGCTATAATTATAAATTAAATGAAGATTAAACAAAAAGGGGAGGAGGTCTCACATGCGGCTTTGAACATTTGCTTTTCTTACCTTTGATTCAATATCAATCGGCAAGGATGGTAAAGATTTATCTAATACTGGCGGATTTGAGTTATCTCTATCTTTTGCTTTCTTTGCTTTGCTGACTCTTTCGTTATGACAGGTCATGCAGTATATTCCCTTAAATCATTAATAAACAAAGATTAATTTCGGTTTCCAATCGTAAAAATTGCTGAACCTTTTTTTTTTCCCCTCTCTCTTTCTCTTTCAATATTACAAATTTTACTCTCTTCAAAAATTTTTTCAAATAAATAATTTATATACATGTTGATTTCCTCTCCCTCTCTCTCCCACCAAGGTTTAATACCACGTGATTTCACATTAATTTATTTATATTTTTTCCTTCCCCTCCCTCATTCACAATAAATTCATTCTATCCCATCTAAGAAATCATATAACTACCAAAGAAATAACGAGAAGATATTCTTGCACCCTTGTTAAATGTAATGACTGATGTTAAAGTGAAGGTTCGTACAAGGTTCATCATATAAAAGATACCTGATTTGTTTTAGCATATATTAAATCTTCTATTTTTTTACGACATTGTCGACAACAAAAGCAGTCGACGTGAAAGGACTCGTCCCCTAATTAAGAGGTATCAAGGATATATTTCAATTGAATGACGTCAGAATCATTAATTAACATGGTAGAATTGTCCCAATTGAAAAATTGGACTAAGACCTTGCATCAATGAACAAAAGGGAATCAAAAAAAAAAAAAAATCTACATTTCACATAGCGCCCTATTGACCCAATTTCAAAAATTAAAAAATAAAATACAAATAGTTTAATATCTAACCTGTCATAATGGCTTCGTCTAATATAGGTTTCCTGCAAACGTGGCAACTATACGAACAGTTTTCACATATTGGATTTCCGTCGGATAACAATAAAACGTTGGAATCGTGTACAACCAAGCTGTGACATTTAGCGCACTTGAAACTTTACAAACGAGAGAATTCAGTAATAATTACACTTAAAACCGCCGGAAAGAACTTGTACTTTTTTTTTTCACAAATTTATTACTGTATAACCTAAGAAAGTTAACCACACGGATCAAGTTGCCTGAACAACTTACCATTGAACATGCCATATGCCTTCTCCGAAGGCAACAACATTCCCTTCTTCGATTATTAAATCACAACCCATACAACTCGGGTCAACGGAGTCATCATTGTCAAAATTCAAACTAGCGTTATCGGACATAGCGTAATTTTTTGTGATAAATGAACTTAATACTCAATATTTTGGTAGAGAGGTAGTATATACAGAAAAAGAAGTGTGTAAATTAAGAGGAGGAAACAAAAAAAAAAAAAAAAAAAAAAAAAAAAAAAAAAAAACGAAGAAAGTTACAAAAGGAGATAGGTAAACGAGAAAATTGGAATGAGCAAATAAATGTGCTTAATATTTGACGATGAACAGAGAAACCGTGCGTTTGTGATGTACAACATTCACGAAACACAAGTCCTGTAGTAACACTTCAGATAGATACCAAAAACTAAGTTATAACATTACTTAAATAGTACAAGATCAATTCTTTAATGTGTTACTCATACACATGGGAAAACTCGTTGACAAATTTTATAGCATTAAAACAATCGTACAAGAAACCTGAACATAAATAACTAAAAATACTTTTTGAAAACCATCTCTTAATCTTTTTTTTAAAAGTGAAAAAAAACTTTTTAAACTCGTGATTTATGTAGGATGATTATCATTTTAAATTTTCGTCCATCTGAATTAGCCAATTTATAAAATCATTCATGGTTCTTTCCCCGGCGAATGGATCTCTCCACATATCATGTTCGCATTGTTCATATAAAATCATGGTCTTTTGATCTTCCGGGGTCTGTGCTTGAGCAAATAAATCTCTAGTCCCGTCACATAAGGTGACTCGATCATTTAAACCATGCTGCACCAAAAATGATTTACGGACTTGACCAAGATTTGATTGTATCCATTCGGTTGCATCTAATAGTGTCAACCCTGTGGATACTCTTAAATTTCCATGATAAGTTTGTGGATCCGAAAGAAAGTTCTAAAGGATAATAAGAAGTAGGATTAATTAGAATCAAAGTAGTAATATAGGAATATTTTTTGATATCAACATGAATTTTACCTCTAAAACTTTCGGATCCGAACTACTCTTTCCACGATGTGCGGATACTATAGGCAAACGTCCTAAAGGTGTATTGACGATTACCTTAGCAATAATTTCGGCAAATTTGCTAGGGCGACTTTGACCAGCAACATGAATTAACGGGCACTGCAACATTAAAGCGTCGAACGTATTCGGATATTTAATGGAATATGCCATGGCAATCAATCCACCAAGGGATCCGCCGGATATAATCAATTTCCTTTGACGATTCTCTTTTGCATCAAGTTCCTTGACATTATCCACGACAAGTTTTGTCGCTTTTATAAAGTCTTGCCATTCAGTAACATACGCATGTAATCCGCTAGATCGACCAAAGCTTGGCAAATCTGGTGAAATGATACGAAAACCCGCCTCTAATATTGGAATACAATTTTCAGAGAATCGTCCACCATAATCGTTCAAACCGTGAATAAATAAAAGGTCCACATTACGTTGTACCTTGGCAGTTGGTAAAGACCAGACCTGATAATAAATAAAGCTGTCCTGATCATTATTGAAAGGAAAGGGAAGTATATGATCAGAGGATAGATAAGGTGGAGAACGAATTATTTTTTCGGTTGCGGAATAAGGAAGAGAAGTTCTTCCATAAGTCAAGTCTCTACGAGATAGGTTGAAGAATTTTAAAAATGGGGCGATTAAAGCGCTGTAACATGTGTGACGAGTGTTCACGAGTGAATCAGAAAGTTCTCTTCCGAAAGGCATTGAAAAAAAAAAACCACTAGTTCTCGAATTTAGCATGTGACAAACCTCTCATGTGTTTATTCAACATGAAAATTTTCCGATAATTGCGTCACCAAAAAAACTCTTATGTTGTTCCACTGAATTGATTCAATTTTCAACGGGCCAATAAAAGTCGTCAAACAAGAGATTGACACATTTTAAAAGTTTCACCGTACTACATTTGGTTATTATCAAAATTAAAAAATTTCCGAAAACAAAATTATTTATTTGGAGGAATTGTTGTTCGATTATTATTTAAGGTTTCATTCATTTGATATAAATGTAATTTGTATATGAAACGCTCCATTATTAATTGCGTATTTGTTTAGGAGAAACCTCAATAATTTTAATTACATTTTCGTAATTTTGCATCTTCTTGAAACGCGTTTACGTGTTTTCAATATTGCCATAACCTTTGTGATCCGTATTAAGTAAAAAAAAATGGTGCGGAATCCTTAAATCTGTATCATTCGGCGTACACGAGTCACTAATTTTTTCTTTTGTCCTCTATTAAAAGTTTATGATTATGATAATTAAAAGAGACGAAATTATAAAAGCATTCACTCCGTAAATTGTCAATATTTTATCGTGGCGCACAATTTCTAATGAAATCTTTTTTCTTTTTTTTTAAAAAAATCATTGCCTGAATTAATATGATATACAGTACATGCTGGTTAAAAAATCTACGTTATTCATAAATCTAGATTGGGTATTTTTAATGAATGTCTTTTATATTATCGTAAATAGAAAACTGTAAATTTTCCTATTTTGATTTTTATAAAAGGTTGATCGAAAAGGATTCTGATTGGTTAAAATCAATTTTTATAAGAAATTATACCCGATTTTGAAAATTTTCAAGGTCATAAAACCTTGAACTTTTCTTAATAAAAAGTCTCTAGGATTCATATAAACAAGGTCAATAAAAATAGATTTTCTTTTTCTTTGAATTAAATACAAATTACTGTATTAGCTTTAGGTATTACAGTCGGCTCTCGATATAATGAAGTCAGTGGTTTGGCCAATCAGGCCTTTACTATAAAAAAGTTCGTTTATTAGTTCAGAATGAAGTGAAAGACAATATAATACTATACAAGGTGATACAAGATGTTCTGATTGATTCTTGCAATTACACAAAAGTCTAAATAAAGTTTCAGATTTAATAATGGTTCTCTTTTCATAATAATCAATAATTTCGTTATGAATAATAGGTAGTAAAGGATTTGAATCTTATGCTTCCTTCTTTTAATTATTATCATTTATTGAGAAGAACTTCCTTTAATATCTTATTACATATCATATCTGTTGTAATTTTAAAATCATCATATTAAATATATTTTTCTGCAATAAAAGGATTTTTAAGATTGAGTTTATTAATTAATTCTTGAATTTTATCTAATTCTTTTGTATGTGCATAAGAACTCTCTTTTTCAACATTAAAGTTCATATCAATTTTATCATCACTTTTTAGTATAAGTCTACCTTTAATTAACAGTTTTAATTATAGTTGGTATAATCATATCCTATGCAAACATAATATACTTGCATTTTTTAACATCAATTTTGATGGATTTAACACATATTCATTATAGTTATCATAGGTTTAACTCTATTTTTAATAATAGTTTTTGATATTATGTCTAAAACTAATTTATTAAAAATATTATTATTGTATATTAAATTTTAAAAATATTAATAGAAAAAGTACCTTAAAACTAAAGATAAACACTGCATTAAAAAATAATGTAATTGAATCACAACTTGTAATGCAATTAAATTTTCTTATAGTACAATTAAAATGAATCATAAATTAGATTTATCCTTCATATATTAATTTTAAAATCTTTCTAATTAAGATCTATCTTTTACT